ACTATCAGTGCTTGTTCTTGCCCAAATTAGCGACACAACCCTGATCCAGGACAAAGTTTACAATCAACATAGATTTATAATTAGCACATGAATCAGCACAGTTTTCTGTTCACAGGCACCAGATTTCTGATTAGCACTTGAATCAGCAGTGGTTTGTGTCACAAGCTGGAGACATTAACTTTCTAATTGGCATGGCGTATGCAGATCGCTAGGCAAGAACAAAATCTTGCCTAGAAAGGCCTATCCCTTTAGGTCCAGGTGACCTCCTCTAACGTTGCCCCCATCTCTCCCTAAAACCTGCCACCATTGTCACTAACAGGTAGGTTCCCTTCATCTTGTTCCTAATGGACTATCACAGGGACAAGCATGGATTCAAATATTATTTCTTCTCCTTCAGCCTTATGAGGACAAACAAATCTGGTTCATTGGTATGCTTCCAGTACTGGGCTGAGCACACAGTGGGGCTCTGTAAATGGCTGAGGAAAAAGTACTGGGTGCTCACTTCATCTTTCTACACTAAATTACAGACCAAGCCAGTCTCATTTTGCTCTCAAAGGTGAGAGCTGTGGGTGCATACTTATAAGCCCATATTCTGGGAAGCTGAGGCAGGAGGGTAACAAATTCAGTCCTACCCTCAGCAATTGAGCAAGACTTTATCTCAAAATAAAAGGGCTGGAGATATAGCTCAATATGAAAACCCTGAGTTCAATCACCAATCTTAGGGGGGAAAAGAGAGGTCAAATTTGTTGTCACTTACTTCAAGAACAAGGTAGGGACACAAGGTAAGTAGGTGGGTGTTCAGCATGGGACTGGCAGTGGGTAGAAGGAAATCCCAAAGCTTTCTGGGGTTATGGATATGATGGTAGTGGTTAATGCTGGGGGCATAATAATTCATCCTACTTTTGCATAGCTGTGGCTGGGCAGGAGGTGTCTAACCTGAAATATATTCTCAGCCCTTCTTGTATTGTGCATGGCTATGTGGCTAGTTCTGCCAACATGGATAGAAAGAAAGACTGTAAGTCACTCCTGGACAAGTCTTTTCTTTTTTTCCCCAGTACTGCGAGTTAAAGGGAGTGCTGAGCTCTATCTCCAACCCTTTTTGTTATTATGAGACAGGATCTTGCTAAGTTGCCAAGGCTGGCATTGAACTTGTAGTCCTCCTGTCTCAGCCTCCCTAGAACCTGAGATTATAGGCACATACCTCTGCACCAAGCTGGAAAAATCTATAAGAAGCAGACAGCCTCCATCCAGCCTCCTCACAGTTACTAGGTGGAACATAATCATTCTAAGTCCCCAGGAAATAATTGAGTCACAAGATTAACAAGTCTAGCATGTGAATCACCAAATGGAGAACTTCTGCCAACTAACTAGGACACCTGTGAGAAATAAATATTATATGAAGTCACTGAAACCCCAGAGGTTATTGGTTTTGGCAGCTAGCATTACACTAATACACTTGACCCCTCCTTTCTGGGTCCCTGATATCCATAGAGCAGTCACTCTATGAAATAAGCCTCTAATTCCCAATTGTGGCATTCAAGCTTTCCTATGGCCCATCTGTACTGTGGTTCAAAGTCTCTATGCTTGCTCTCTGTATGTTTCCATCCATTCTTTGCACAAATATAAACTTTCCCCCCACGTGTTATGGAAGCCTTCTTCCATTCTGATAGTTGGAAGTTGTTAAGGCAGACCCTGACAGTTGTGTTTAAGTCTTCCACCATTGTTGGGTAGAACACTCTTCTGCAGAATCTTTGTGGTGGCACTGCAGAAGTTGCTGATTGCTGGGAACCCCTCGTATGATTTAGGGTGATCAGTATTGTGGGGGAGGGGGAGTGCTCATCTTTCTGCTCTTCTGTTTAGACCCCATTGTGTGAGGTACACCTTCAAGCCTGATCATTAGTAAGACCCTGGTCCCTACTCTCCAGATCCATGCGCTGATTATAAATCTGAGCTAATGCCAGAGAATCCTGTTGGCTGGACTGGGGTTGGTGGCTGCTACTTGAGGGACAGGAAGATACTAACTCTATCCTCCTTTCTCTGACAACCTGCTGGCTTGGAAAGATACTATCTATGTCCCTTTATAATGTGACTTTTTTGCCAGGCTAACTTCATTGATTTGAGTGTACATACATGAAAGTATGCATATGTGCTTGTGTGTGTGCATGTATATATCCATCCTTTGTGGATGTTTGATGTGAATCTATTTCATGTGTGTGTGCACATGTGCACACGAGAGAATCTGTGTGCAGATTTGTTTCTATATGTGACCTCTCACATGTGCAATGTGAGGTTGTATTTATGTTTGTGTTCTGGAGAAATGTTTAGTAGGCATCTGTGTATGTCTCCCTGATTCAACACGAGCCCCTGCAACTGCTTGCATGTTCAATGAGCCTCAGAGTACACGTGCATGTGTGAGTGTGAGTGTAGGTGTGTCCTGGGAGAACGTGTACATTTGGCCATATTCTGTGTGCACTGGACTGTGCATGGATAAGAGCAGTCTCCTTGTCCCCAAGCCCTCCTCATCTCTTAGGCAATTTAACCTCATTCTTTCTGCTGTGGCTGTTTCCGCTGCTTCTGTCTCCAGATGTTGCAATTAAGCAAATGCAGCAATTAAGCAGAGTCCCCCAAACAACCATCCCAACAGGATCCCCTTCCAGAAGCTAATGAGGGGTTGTAGCATATGCAGACCCACGCAGCACTCTCCAGGCACTTGGGGATGCCAGGCTGCATACGCTGTGGCACACAGCTACAGGTAAGCTGTACACAAATAGCATGAAGGGTGCCTTTGCCCACCTGTTCCACACGTTTCTTCTTCAGGTCTTATCATGATGGCCTCCAGTTTCAGGCAGCTTCTCAGGCTTGGGATTGGGAGGCCCAGACTCTACTTATGCCACCTCCATTTCTTCCCCTATCAGAGCCTGGGCCATTCTGGCCTGTGCTTTATCATCATAGGCTTTACTGTGTTGCCCTGCACTTTTTCATGTCACCATCCTGATCATCATGGCCTGTTGTTCCACATCATATTCCTAATCTTTCTAGCCTGAGCTCCTCCCCTACCAGTACTAACCACTCTAGGCTGGCTGGAGATGTCACTTCTCCCTTTTGAAATGAGCGTTCAGTGAAGGTAAGACCTGAGCTGTCTTGGTCACCATGTTTACTATAGTATCAACACAGTAAAGCCTCGGTAGCCAATGCCGAACTTGGTATGCATAGCATCTTGATCTATACCTGTCTGATTTTGCATATACTTGGGCTGCTATTGTCCCTCCACATGGCAAGTTTTACTATAGTGGTCGAGCTCAAGCTGGGCACCTCTGCTTTTCTATCTCAGATTTCAAGTGGCTCTCAGTGCTACTCCCTCCCGGCTCAGAGACTCTCTTCACTCAAGGAGGGGAAGAAGTGGAGGATAAATGCCCAGCCTCTCTGAACTTCGATACAGAGCAAGGTAGGGAGATACTTCTGATGTGTTCTCCAAGGTTCAGCAGAATGGAGCTCCATTGTCCAGAGAGGTACCCTGCTCCTCATCACAGCTAACTTCTGTTAGCTTTCTCTGTCCCGTTTCACTCTCCTCTCTTACTTGCCCCTCTTTCCTAGGATCACCCCCCTAAACTTAGTCCTGCTCTTAGGATTGTCTCCATTTCACTTCTGTCTCTCCCAGCTCTACCACCTCTGCAGGTCTCTGAAGCTTTTGCAGTCCTTCCCTGAGTTTCTGAGTGACCATATTGAATGTACCAGGCCAGGAGCATGATGAACTTTGCTAGTGATCTGGAAAGGCAGGCCCTAGGGTTGAGTTAATTTTAGCTGCATTTTTTCAATACACATAAGTAGAAGGGGCCCGAAAGTCTACTCTGAAACCTTCAGCAGAGATAGGGAACCAAGGGTGGATATGCATTCACACCCCACTCCCAAGGTCACTTGACTCTTCGGCTCAGATGTGATTCCCAGAGGTGGTTTCCAGGACCACTCAGGCTCCCCTGGGTAGGGCATGTCCACCTCAGGACACCTAGACCAAGGCTGGGATCCCTTTGGATCAGGGCTCCAGGTAGATCGGGTGCCCTCATGCTGCTATAAGCAAGTTCCCTAGCCAGGTGTAAAGTCCATCACTCACACCTCTTCCTGAGACAGCATCTGCCAGGACAGTGTGGGACACCTCCTCTCCTCCCCTGCACCCTGCACCAGTCCCTGTGAGTCATGTGTCGGCACAACTCCAACCAGGGTCATCCGTGGGCAGTGGACCTGAGAGGGAGGAAGGGAAGACAGTGGACCAACCTGACCAGACCCCTGCCTCTGACCCATTTCCTGTCTTCTCACTCCTCCTCAGGACATGTAGTCAGTGTGTCCTGACCCCAAACAACCATCCCAACAGGATCCCCTTCCAGAGGAATCCTAGAGGGCACAGGGTTTTGGAATCAAGTTTTCCAAAGCAAAACTTGCAGCTAGGGAAAGGAGCTTTGGGGAGGAACAAAGATCAGGCCTGGTGCTGAGCAGAGCTCAGGTAAGGAAACTTCACCTGTGGAAGGGACACCCCAAAAGGTGGTGCTGGCGGGGGGTGGGGGGCTACATTCAGGGCTATAAATGAGTACACAGTACACACACACACACACACACACACACACACACACACACACACATCCTCACAGTCAAGGTGCCCCAAGTGCTGTTACAGCCCGCGTGTGTACGTGTGCGTGTGAACATCTCTGTTTCTGACTTGTCCTTGCCTTCTGTCTCTTTCCCCCCTCTGAATCCGTTGCTGTCTGTATTTCCATCTCTCTTTGTATTATCTCTGTATTTCTAAACGTCTCTCAGTTTAAGCCTGTCCATCTTTTTGTCTCTATTATCTATTCTCTCGCAATCTTTATCTCTCTACCTCAGTCCCTTTACATCCAGGGATTCTTGCTCCTAGCAGCGGCAGGTCTCCTCCATAAAAGGTGGGGCCAGGGGCGCGCCTTTGGGGGGGGGCTGCCTATGCCTTTAAGCGCGAGCACGCGCAGGGCCTGCGCCTTTAAGCGCGGCCGCGCGCGGCCCTGGGTTCCCGGAGAGGAGGCCGCGGGAGCGCTCGGACCCAGCCCGCCTGCCCGGCCCCCGACCCGGCCCGGCGGGGGAGGGGTCTCTGAGCGCGGCCCCTCCCCCCTGCGTCCCCGCCCGCGCTGCGGTGCACCGGCCCGCGTGTTCCTGTCGGTTCTGTCTGTCCGTCTGTTGGCGCCCAGGCCTCGCCCCACCCTGGTCCTGGGGCTGCCCCGCCGCCCCCCTACCAACCGCAGTGGACTTCCTCCCTCTGGGCCGACCCACCCCCCCCAGGAGGCGAGAGGCGAGGCTGTCACCCTAGACCCGGGGGCCGCCCGCACCTGACACCGGGGGTTGCACCCCGAGATTGGACTGGGAAATCCAGAAACCCGAGTTTGGGAATCTGATCTGGTGTAGATACCCCGAGATCCGGCTGTGGAACCCAAAGACCTGGACCCTGAACCCTATACCTGGGGCTAGAATCCCAGCATCGGTCCTTGGGACCCCAAGATTTGGAAGCTGAATTTCATGGTTTGGAGCATGGACCCCAAGATTTAGAGCCAGAACTCCCAAGATTTGGAATCTAAACCTCTAAATGTGGAGCTGAACTCTGAATTCTGTGTTTAGCACCTTTTAATCTGGAGCTGGATTCTTAAATCTACACCAGGAATTTACTATTTGGGAACTGGACTTGGAATTTAGGCCTCAAATTCCAAGATCTGAACCTGGGGACTCCAAGAGCCCTAAACCTGATTTTGAGCCAGAAGTCCTTGCTGCAGACCTGAACGCTGAAATCTGAGGTGAGACCTCCAAATCTTGACTCAGCATCCCAGTATCGGAATCCCACGAAACCCTAATATTGGATTCCAGGACAGGACTTGGGACTCAGACCCTGAACCATTTGGCTGTTTGGCACACCAAGCCTGAAGCTGGAAAACCCTGACCCTGAACAACCAAAACTGGATCTCTAACACTGGACCCTAAGGCCCAATATTTGGATGTTGGAGACTCAGGTATTCAGAGCTGGAGACTTCATGGCCACAGATTTGAGCTGAGGCACAACAGTGTCTTCACAGACGTCTTGGGACAGAGATGACATGACCAGACACCTACTTGAGAGCTCTGACCTCTGACCCCTTGGAGCCTGAGGACTCTGCTCCCTGGGGTGGCTTCCAGTTCAGGTAAGGCCCCCCACTTCACTGTGGGGACTCAGAAAGTGGGGTTCTGTGGCTATGAGTGGAGGTGAAAGTAAGTGGGAGCCAGGTCCTCTTTGGCACTCGGGTTTTCCCCTAGAAAAGTCATTCTTCCATGAGTCTGCCTCCGGCTCTGTCTGCAACATTCTCTGGACACTTGGCAAGCTCTGCCTCTCTCTGATCACCTCATCCCCCGCTGATGGTGTCTCCAGGCCTCTTGACGCCACTGCCCTTACCACTTCGCACCATCTGTCCTGTCTGACCATCTCCAGCTGCCTCTTTTGTCCACCACTGCTCTTCCTGGTCTCCTTTCTCTACCTTTCTTCTTTTATTCTTTTAAACAGGGTCTTGCTGTTGAGTGGCCTTCAACTCACCATGTAGCCCAAACTCACAGTGATCTTCCTGCCTCAGCCTCCCAAGCGCTGGGATTACAGGCATGTGCCACCACACCCAGTCTCTCCACCTCTTCTGAAAGACCATTTCTGTTCACCTTTCTCCCTCTGATCATTTATAACACCCCTGTCCACAGTTCCCCTCTCCAGCCACCTCTGTCTAGTACTTCTTAGAGGGATCATCTTGGACACCTCTGTCCATGGTACTCCTCATCATCTAACATTTTTCTCCCCAGCCGCCCTGTCCATTTATACCCTCTGACTTCTTTTTTTTTTTGGTGTGTGTGTGTGTGTGTGTGTGTGTGTGTGTGTGTGTGTGTGTCTTTTTCCTTTTTATCGGTACCGGGGATCGAACTCACGACTGCCTGCTTGCAAGGCAGGCGCTTATGCCGCTGAGCTAAATCTCCAGCCCCTACCCTCTGACTTCTAACTCCCCTCTCTCTGACCATCTTTCATCATCTCTCTTGCCTGCTGTCACACTCCAACCCTACTCAGCTATCTGTCCCTGTCTCTACTTCTGTCTCTGTCTCTCTTTCTCTGAGAATTGAATCCAGGGCCTCATGCATGCTGGGCAAGCACTCTACTGAGTTGCATTCGCAGTCCTTTTTATATGTTAAATTTTGACACAGGGTCTCACTAAGTTGCCCAGAAGGCTGGCCTTAAACTATGATTCTCTCGCCTCTATCTCTTGCCTCTTGCTAGGATTACAGGCATGCACCACCACACCCAGCTATCTTTCTTGTTCATTGGTTTCTCTGATCATTTCTACCATCTCTGGTTGTCTTGCCTCCCCCTAATGAGCTCTTCCCTTACCCCTCATGCTGGCCATTTGTCCTGGTCTTCGGCTGTCCTCTGTCTTCTCTGACCTCTCTGGCTTTTGACTATGCCTCACAACTCTCTCTAACCAGCACTGATCAGCTCACCTGGATGGACCACCTCAACCACCTCCCATCTGCCCACCTCTCATCTTCTTGACCAATCATTTTCTCTCTTATTGCCCATCTTCTTGACCATCTCTGACCACTCTCCTCTTAGAACATATATGATCTCTTCTTGCCATCCCTCCCACCTGATCACTTTTTCTCTCCACAGCCATCTGTGAGCATGTGTTTGACCATGCCTCAAGCCCCCTAGCTTACCTTTACTCATCCTAGCTGGCTCTCCTACTGTCTGGCTATCTCTAGCCAGCTCCTTTCTTCTGACCACTTTTGTTCATTTTTGCTTCCTCTGTCTCTGGGACACATCTTTTGAGTCTTTCACCATCTCCTCTGGCTTTGGATCTGTTTCTTCTCTCTCCAACCATCTTTGATCAGCTCTGCCCCCGTAGGCCATGACCATCTCTCCTCATCTCGGACCACTCAACCCCTCTATGAGGCCCCACTCTGGCCTTGCCACCCACGATGCCTCCCCTTTCCCTGCAGGCCGCCCCACCCGCAATGGCCGTCTTCCCGTTGCTCCTTTGCCTGCTGCCGCTGGCCCCTGCCTCGTCTCCACCCCAGCCAGCCACATCTAGCCCATGTCCCCGCCGCTGCCGCTGCCAGACCCAGTCACTGCCCCTAAGTGTGCTGTGTCCAGGGGCAGGCCTCCTGTTCGTGCCACCCTCGCTGGATCGTCGTGCCGCTGAGCTGCGCCTGGCAGACAACTTCATTGCAGCTGTGCGACGCCGCGACCTGGCCAACATGACGGGCCTGCTGCACCTGAGCCTGTCTCGGAACACTATCCGCCACGTGGCAGCTGGTGCCTTCGCTGACCTACGAGCTCTGCGCGCCCTGCACCTGGATGGCAACCGGCTGACCTCGCTGGGCGAGGGTCAGCTGCGTGGCCTAGTCAACTTGCGACACCTCATCCTGAGCAACAACCAGCTGGCAGCCCTGGCAGCTGGTGCCCTGGACGACTGTGCCGAGACACTTGAGGACCTGGATCTCTCCTACAACAACCTCGAGCAGCTGCCCTGGGAGGCCCTGGGCCGCCTGGGCAATGTCAATACATTAGGCCTCGACCATAACTTGCTGGCTTCCGTGCCTGCTGGCGCCTTTTCCCGCCTGCACAAGCTGGCACGGCTCGACATGACCTCCAACCGTCTGACCACCATCCCACCTGACCCACTCTTTTCCCGCCTACAGCTGCTCGCCCGGCCCCGTGGCTCCCCTGCCTCTGCCCTGGTGCTGGCATTTGGTGGGAACCCTCTGCACTGTAACTGTGAGCTGGTGTGGCTAAGACGCCTGGCCAGGGAGGATGACCTCGAGGCCTGTGCCTCGCCGCCTGCCCTAGGGGGCCGCTACTTCTGGGCCGTAGGTGAGGAGGAGTTTGTGTGTGAGCCACCTGTGGTGACCCATCGATCGCCACCCCTGGCCGTACCTGCAGGTCGGCCAGCTGCCTTGCGTTGCCGGGCAGTAGGGGACCCAGAACCCCGTGTGCGTTGGGTGTCACCCCAGGGCCGGCTGTTGGGCAACTCGAGCCGTGCCCGTGCCTTCCCGAATGGAACTCTGGAGCTGCTGGTCACTGAACCTGGCGATGGTGGCATCTTTACCTGCATAGCGGCCAATGCAGCTGGTGAGGCCACAGCAGCTGTTGAGCTAACTGTGGGTCCCCCGCCACCTCCTCAGCTAGCCAATAGCACCAGCTGTGATCCCCCGCAGGACGGGGATCCTGATGCCCTTACCCCGCCCTCTGCTGCCTCTGCCTCTGCCAAGGTGGCTGACACCGTGCCCCCTACTGACCGTGGCGTCCAAGTGACCGAGCATGGGGCTACAGCTGCTCTTGTCCAGTGGCCAGATCAGCGGCCTATCCCGGGCATTCGCATGTACCAGATCCAGTACAACAGCTCAGCTGATGACATCCTCGTCTACAGGTGCAGGGGCCAGGCAGTGGGACAGCTCGGGTGGGTGAGTGAGGTGTGGGAGAACTGAGGGTACATCTCCAGATGCCCTGTACTAAAGCAGAGCTGCTGCGAGGTTGCAAAGGAAATCATACCACGAGGAGAAAGACATCAGGCAGCAGGGGAATCCAGAGTCAGGCAGAAAGGGTAAAAGACATCTGGCAGCATGGTAAAAAGAAAGCAGACAGTAAGGATAAAATAAATTAGTCAGCAAATGTTAAAATAAGTCAGGCACAGGGCCAAAAAATATCAGGCAATGAGGAAAGAAATCAGGTTACAGAGGTAAAAAGAAAGAAGGCAGCAAGAGTAAATGGTAGCAAACAAAAAGGAAATTAATTAGCAGGAATAAAAAACAATCAATACAAAAGAATAAAAAGTTAATGGGCACAAGGGAATAAAAACAAATTTCAGCCGTAAAGGTAAAGAGAAAACCTGGGTGTGGTGGCCTGTAATGCCAGCATTCTAGAAGACTGAGGCGAGTGGGTTGTAGCCAACCTGGGCAATGTAGTGACTTGGCAGGATCCTATCTGAAAACAAAGACTAAAAAATGGGCTGAGGATTTAGCACAGTGCAGAAGCTCTTGATTCAATCTCTAGTACTGGGGAGAAGGAAAAGAGAGAGAGAAAAAAAAAAAAAACCTGGGTTTTCCACATGATGGTTTGATATAAGTCAGGCTGCAGAAAGAAAAAGAGATCCAGCAGGAAGGTACAGGCATGTCAGGAAAAATGAAGTGAAACAGACCTATTACAAAGCAAAGGAGGTTAAACAGAGACTAGGCTTCATATTCATGTAGTGTGCATCCTACATGTTTGGAGTTCTAATGTGGTGACATAAATTTTTTATTTGCTAAATCAAATCAAACAGACTAGGCATGGTGATATGTGCCTGAAGTCCCTGCTACTCAGGAGGCTGGGGAAGGTGGATTGCAAGTTTGAGGGCAGCCTCAGCAACTTAGCAAGACCCTGTCTCAAAATAAAAACCAAGGGCAAGCTCTACTTGCTATGTGAATAGAAATAACTGGTTTAGGCAGGCGTGGTAGCACACACCTGAATCCCTGCACTTGGGAGACTGAAGCAGGAGGATTGCCACAAGTTTGAGCTACATAGTGAGTTCAAGGCCAACCTGAAATACATGGCAAGACCCTGTCTCAAAAACATAACAAAACAAATCCAATTTGCCACTCGGCTCCATTTTTCTCTTCCATGGTTCAAACACAAAATCTAGAGTTCAGCCACTCCATAGGGTAGGTCTATATCACTTTTGTCCCCAAGTCAGGGTCAAAAGTGGTGGCTGCTGCTAGTTCAACCTTGCATAGGCAGCTGTAGATGCTTTCCTGTCCTTGCTGCCAGGCTGACCCAATGGTGCAGTCCCCAAGGCTGGGTTGCAAGGACTGGGCCTCCTAAGGACTGGGGTCACAGCTTGGAAACTTAATACCTAGACTCCCTTCCCTCTGCTGGGGCCATGCTTCAAAAGATTATCATTTCCTTTTCGGTCCTGATTCCACTGCTTTTCTCAGACAAGACTACTCAGTAGATTCCATCTCAGCCCTGAAAATCACTTAAGTCCTGGTCACCCTGGTGGAGGATGGGCCACAGGTTCTTTTAGATGGTCTCCCTACTACAAGCAACCGAGTTCCCTCTACCACTCTCATTAAAGCAGCTTAAGAATAAAATAGATTATAAAAGAAGTTAAATCTCCAACAAGGTACCCTGTGACCAAAGAAAATATAGTAGAATTGAGTGATAAGGAGAAAAAGGAAATGGGAAAGGTAAGAATAAATAGAAACCAGGCAACAGAGATAAAAGGGAACTAAGTGACAGAGCTAGAAAGAAATAAGGCAATAGGGAGAAAAAGAAATGAGTGGTGATTCAGAAGCAAGAACTCCCTGGGAAAACACACTATGTATGATAATAAAAAGGCAATGGGGCTAGTGGGAAATTTATTGGCATGTTGGAAAGAAAATCAGGCAGCAGGGGTATAGAGGAATCAGGTGGTTAGATTAAAGAAAATTCTGATTTTACACTAAGGGAAAATCAGGTAGCTGAAAAAGGGAAATTAGAGAGAAGTCAGATGAGAACCTGAGGGCAACGGGGTGAGGAACTGGAGGGAGGTCAGAAATAAAGGGCCCAGCAAGCTAGAAGGAAACCAGATTAGGTCAAATGGAAACTAGTAGGGGTAGAGCAAAATGGGGCAGTGAATGGAGAGATGCCTAACAGCAGGCTGGAGGGAACTTTGGTGGTAGGACCATAGCGAAACCAGTTAGAGAACTGGGGCAGAATGGGCAAGGCGGCAGCTACAGGCTGGAGGGAGGGAGTCGGGTGGTGGTGCAAGAGAGGAATGATATTGGGTATAAATATGGGAACTGGGAGGACCTCCAGTGATGGGCTGCAGAGAAACTGGGCGTCGCCCCCAGAGCAGAATTTGGGGGAGGGGATGGCTAGAGTTAAACTGACTACAGTAGAGAGACATCAGAAGGTGGATGAAGGGGTGTCAGACCAAAAAAGTTGGGGTGCTGGCTAGAGGAAACTGGATAGGTTGGAAATGAGACAGGGTTAGTGGGAAATGTAGCCACACAGGGCCTCGGATCAGGAAAGGAGGGGTTTTGTGCAGCCACAGCCCTGACCCCACCTGCCTGTCCCTCCAGGATGATCCCAGCGGACAGTCGCTCCTTCCTGCTCACCGACCTGGCGTCTGGCCGTACCTACGATTTGTGCGTGCTCGCCGTGTATGAGGATGGCGCCACGGGGCTCACGGCCACGCGACCCGTGGGCTGTGCCCGCTTCTCCACTGAGCCTGCATTGCGGCCATGCGGCGCCCCGCACGCACCCTTCCTGGGCGGCACCATGATCATCGCGCTCGGCGGGGTCATTGTGGCCTCCGTGCTGGTCTTCATCTTTGTGTTGCTCATGCGTTACAAGGTGCACGGTGGGCAGCCACCCGGCAAGGCCAAGGCCTCTGCACCCGTCAGCAGCGTTTGCTCTCAGACCAATGGCGCCCTGGGACCTACGCCCACTGCACCTATCCCTGATCCGGCTGCACCCAGGGCCCACACCGTGGTCCAGCTGGACTGCGAGCCGTGGGGGCCCAGCCACGAACCTGCGGGACCCTAGCCGGGTGACCACCTCTGTGGCTTCTGTGGCCCCAGGGATAACAGGACCCGGACACCCGGCGGGACCTGGCCTCAGACTCACCAAATCACTCACGGTTTTTAAAACTCTGATGGGGAGGGTTGGGGGCACTGGGGCACAACAAGAAAGTCCTATTTTTCTAAGCTTGGGCCTGGGCCTTTGCCCTTGTCTCTGTCTGTGGTGCCTGGGGGACTTTTGCAGGGATCTGGGGCTGGCAAATACTTCCTCTGGGAGAGACTCCCCAGTTCAGTTTGAGGGCCCGGGGAGCCTGGGGCTGAGAGCGGTCATCCATTCAGTCAACAGATATCCCTGGAAGGGCCACCTGGGTGGGCCCTGTGTTGTGTCACTGCAGTGACACAGACAGCCCTGAGTCCTGCCCTCAGGGAGCCTGAAGTCTGGTAGGAGACAAACATGTCTTCAGACAGTGATAATCCAGAGAGACCAGGGATGTAGTGACCAGGAAAGCCTAGGAGATTGTATAGCCCAAAAGAGGTACCTAGCTCAGCCAAGGATGTGGTCAGAGAGAGTGTCCTGGAAGAGGAGACATGAGGCCTAAGAGAAATACCTGAGGGAGATAACTGGGCAGAGAGCAAAAGGAGAGCTGTTGCAGGCGGACAACACAGCTATGCAGGGCCTAGTATGTACCAGGCTCTCGGGTGCTCTGGTAGAGGTGAGGCAGGAGAGCTGAGCAGGGTCCAGGAACTCCGGGCTGAGGCGCTCAGATGGTGGCCTGAGGTGTTGGGAAGTCATGGATGATTCTACACGGGAGGAACAGAGTCACATTTGGACTTGAGGAAGATCCTTCTAAAGGAAGGTGGGCCAGAGGAGGAAACTGGGAGCTGGGAGCCCAGGGTGGGGCCAGGGCAGGGATCTACATGGTGGGGAAGCTCAGACCAAGACAGGACTAGGGGGAAGAACAGAGTGGGAGGCAGAGGGGCTGTGGAGTGGAGGGTGATGGGCAGAGGGTGCCCAGGACAAGGCCTGGGCCAAGGGAGAGGGGTGGAGGAACTGCTCAAGACCAAGGAGGAAGGGTAGGCCTGGGGAAGATGCTGACTGGGGAAGATGGTATGGGACTTGGTGGATATGGGGTGCAGAGGATGTCCATGGTGGACAATGTCTAAGAGGCCAGAGGACTCTTGATCTGAGGCTGGAGCTAGGGACAGAAATAGAGCTTTGTAGTCAGAGATGGGAACTGAAACCACTTGGGGTGAGACAGGCTTTGAGAGTGCCAACTCCCAACCACAGCGACTTTTGCATGTTTAAAAGAGAGACAAAGGAAAAACCTCGCAGACTATACAGGAGCATTCAGGCAGGAGGAAGAAAACCAAGAAATTCAAACCCAAATGACTGTTGTGCCTGATAACGTAAAGACTGCAGTAATCTCAGCAGAGCATTGTTAGGGGATTGGTGGGGAGAGATGCCATATTCAGCTGACTCAAGAGTAGGAGGTAAGAAAGTATAGACAGGAAGTGTAGGCCCAGGCTTCTGTGGGCTAGATCCTGGGTCAGGTTGATCTGGAACTTCCAGCCCTCACTCGGTCTTTGCCCTAGGGCCCTTCAAAGTTTATAGGACCCACACTTGGTCTAGGAAATGGCAGCCCTCAGTAGAGACCCAGGAAGGGGCTTTTCTAATGTGAAGGGGTATCTGGGCACAAATGTGGACCTGTCACCTGTCTGGAGTGATGCTGGTATGAGCAGCATGGTAAAGAGTTCAAGACTAGACTGGCCATTCTCATGACCTGGTGCACATGACCTTGTCCTGTCAGGCCAGCAAATCCTAGATTCTGCCACAGCTTTTGTGGCCTTGGAAATATTACTCTGTTAGCCTATAGGAACAGCCCAAGTCCAGGGGACCTGATCTGACTGCCCAATCCCTCAGCAGCGCCATGAGTCCTTCCTCTTGTTGGTTACTCTTGGGTAGCACAGGTCAGGTGAGGTCATCAGCAAGAGGGAGGGCATGAGTTTTTTTGGAGAATGGGCTCGAGGGAGTGGACCTAGTGCCAGCCAGAAAATGCCAGTTTCTGGTGGGAGTGGGGGCGCCAGAACATACTTCCTAAACTCTCGATTTTTGGGTTTTTTTTTCATTTTTTAAAACTGTCAATCTTTACTGTGTGCAAGCGCTGGGGACTGAGTGCTAAACAAATAGGTATAGGCCCTGCTGTCCCATATCTCAGCATCTGGTGGGGACACAAATGTTAAATAGTCACATGCAAGGGTAAAGCATCTTTGGTAACAAAGTGGACTATGCCAGAGAGATGTGGACTGTAAGACCCTATAATCAGGGGAACTGCCCCATGAAAGGAGATTAAGGAAATCTTCTGGAGGAGGTGAGGCCTCAGCTGAGTCCCAGAGGATGCTCAGGTTGTTAACTAGCAAAGGGTGGAAAGGATTCACAAGGAACGGCATGGTATCTAAAAGGAAGTGAAGAAGGCCAGAGCTGGAGGTAGGGTGAGGGAAGGGATGTGACATTGTATTGAGACTGATGAGTGGGAAGAGGCCACACCCAGACACCTGGAGGCTGCTGGGAGGACTCTATTTCATTCTAAGTGGCACGGAAGCCGTTGGAGGGTTTTGAGCTCTAAGGAGAATAGTGTTCCCTGATCTCATGGAAGCTCTAGTGACAGACTGTTTATATGTGGAGGGTAAAGAAAAGAGGATATTGCAATGGCCAGGCAGAGGGTGACCTGGACCAGGCCAGGCCCCAAAGTTAATGAATGGAAGGGAGATTTGAGATTGTTTTGCCACAGGTCTCCATCCCCTACTGAAAGCTGTAGGACCCTGGTCTATGATATCCATGGATACATCTCTGAGTGGGGAAGCTGACTTCTCTGTAGCATGCGAATGAAGGAAATTCTTAAGGTACGAGTACCAGGAGAAAGGTTAAAAAGCAGAGGCTGTGGTTGGTCAGGGAGATGTAGACACAAAAAATGCAATACCGGGGCTGGGGATTTAGCTCAGCGGCATAAGTGCCTGCCTTTCAAGCAGGCAGTCGTGAGTTCAATCCCTGGTACCGATAAAAACGAAAAAGACAAAAAAAAAAAAAAAATGCAGTACCTGAAATGGGAATATACAGCCAGGGGTTGCTTACTGTACTATGGAAGCAGAAGGTCAGGTGTGGTGGCACATGCCTGTAATTCTAGTACTCTGGGAGTTAATGACTTAGTGAGATCCTGTCTCAAAATATTTCCTTTCTTTTTTTTTTTTTTTTTTTTTTTTTGTGGTACTGGGTATCAAACTCACAACCTTGTGCTTGCCAGGCAGGCGCTGTGCCACTGAGCTATATCCCTGGATTTTTTTTTTTTTATTCTTTGTGTGTGTGTATGTGTCAAAATATTTTTTAAAAATTTTTAAAGGTCTGGGATATAGTTTCATGCAAAGGCCCTGGATTCAGTCTCCGGTACTCAATCTCCTATACTGACCAAAGGAGAAAACAAGTTTGAAAGCAAGGAAGATGGGGAAAGGGATGTGGGGCGAGCTGGTCCTTCTAGCATGGTCCCTATGGTCCTCACAGGATGCCAGACCATCCCTTAAGCCTGTGCAGAAACAAATGAGCATATGTATCTAGGACTGAAAGTTAAAATTCAGCTGAGTTCACCAATTTTCCGAGCTCGGGGAGCACTGCCTCTGTCTATTCCCTGGCTGACATTGGAAAGCAGCCTGCACAATTTGGAGCCTAGTCCCAAGCTACTGCAGCATGTTCTTGAAGTGACTGTGGTCCTGATACTCAAATTCTGCCTTGTCTGTGTGCTGCTACATCCAACACAAGTGTCTTGATGTGGCTAAGTCTGGCCACATCAAGATACCACATCTAGAGATACCCATAATCCTTTGCAAGGCCTCCATTATGACCAAACTTTTGCAGCTCTCTCCAAAGGCTCATATGTGGAAGATAACATGGTGCTCTCAAAATATATGGTTCTCTCTTGGATAGAACATGGAGGCCCTGCCTGTGGTTCCTCAATGGCATCTGTACTTTCACATGCTTCCCAAAAGCAAGGATAGTTGATGCCTGGCTTCTGTGTAGTGATGGTGGGGATGTAGTGGTGACCAAGTAACCCAGACTCTGCACTCTCATAGTTCTAATTCTAGTGGAGCAAATAGCAACCCACAGAATGGCAACCAGAGGGGAGTCTCACCTGAACCTCGGAGATGGGGGGTGTTGAAGATTTCCAGAAGACAGGGCCTACTTTATAGCAGCGCAACCTCCAGAGTCAGCCAGGACCCCACGCTTGCAATGACCTTATGTTTAATGCCCTGCTGCCGCCACCTTAAAATTTGTTGAACAGACTGACCACCCTCATTTTCATTTTGATTGGGCCCTGAAAATTATCTACCCATTTCTTCCTGAAGGAAAGTACTCTTGAATATACAAAAAAGCAGGGCACAGTGGTGCGTGCCTTTAATCCCAGAACTCTGGGTGGCTGAGGAAGGAAGATTGCAAGTTCAAATCCAGCCTAGGCAATTTAGCCACTTAGTGAGGCCTTGTGTTAAAATGGGCTGAGAATATAGCTCAATATGAAGGCCCTGGTTCAATCCCCAATACCAAGAAAAAAAGAATATATAAAGAAAACCATAGGCAGAGGGGGCTTCTAAGAAAGGAAGAAAGAAGAATGTGGACTTGAACTGCCTGGAGTCTGGTGTGGTAGGAGCCGAGGTGGGAGAAGAGGCAAAGTGACAGGTGAACCAGGGGGAAGCCAGCTGCCACACCAAGAGGCTCCAGTCCCAGGCACTATGGAGCCAGGAGAGTGATAAATAGTGGAGGGATAGCATCAAGGTTGTGCTTTAGAAAGATCCACCTGACTTCCTTCTGGGAGGGAGGATAGAAATTCATGGCCAAGAAGAAGGCTCTGCCACCTGCAGAGGAGGCTGGGAATATCCATGACCCTGGGTAAGGGCTGGGGAGGACAGCTCAGTCTGGCCAAGCTCTGGAGGAGTATTGAATGCTTGGGGACAGATACCTCAACACACTAGGACGTCAACTAGGGGGACCCCAAAGCCACAGGGCATGCCCAGAGCTTCATTTTCCCTTGGAAATTTTCTCTGTAGGGGTTAGGGAGGGAGCACAGAAGGGCAGGGTACCAAATGTCAGTGGTAAGGACTTGAAGTTTTTCTTTTAATATAAGAATTCGCATGGCTAGACTGATGGAGCAGAATGCAACATTGGCAAGAATTTAGAGTATAAAACGTGAGATTTCAAAGGAGTTTATTCTGGATATATTCTGGCTTCAGCTTTGTCAAACCTCTGGGACACATCTCCCTCTCCCCAACCCTTGGGATACAACACTAGTTCCCTGGGAATTTCCTCTTTAGCTTCTCTGTAAGTGCTATTCTGGCCCCTTCTGCCTCCTTTGCTCACCTCTTCCTGGAGCACCCCCCCCCAATGCCTCAGTTTCTCTTCTCTACTGCCAAACTCCACATTTCTGCCCATGCCCGATCTCTCCTAAATCCTCACCTGGCTGATCCTGGCTTCCTGGACCCTCTTACTGTGTATCTCCTAGGTTTGTACCCCAATACTGGCCTCAGCTTCTGTCCATCTAAAGGAACCCCTGCTCAGCTTGCTACAGATCCCTTCCACCTACTCCTTCTCCCTTATCTGGCCCGGTTCTGGTCTAGCATGGCCTCTGCTACCCAGGTCCTAACACTGGCCTCCTAGGATTCTGGCCTCAGTCACGCTCTGATCCAAAGTTTTCCTAAACCTGAACGTGCCCCTCCTATGCATGGAAACCTCCATGGCTTGCTGGTGGTGCTCCTGGGACAGTCTGAGCTCCTCAGCTTTGCATTCCCACGCCATCCTCCTCCCACCCACTCCCCGCACCATCTCCAGCACATATGTTCGGCAACCCCAAGCTGGAAGGAGATTTTAACCACCCTCTGAAAGGCAGGGGACTTTTGTGTCTATCTTCATGTTCCTGTGCCCTCGCTGGAGCCTGTCCTTGCTTCCTCTGCTTACAAAACAAGTGAAGGACCTTAAGAAGTGCGGGGGAAGCTATGGAAAGAAAGGTTCTGCAGCTCAGCACCTTCTGGGAACATGGGCTGAAGTGGAGGTGTCTCCCCTTGGGGAACTCTGTCCTCACATCTCCCACACCACCAAATCCAGAGAGCTGATGCCCTCTCCCACCTCAGGCTCCAGTCACTTTCCTGACCTAGGAGTGTAGACTCTGCCCCTCCTTCCCTGAACTCAGGAGTTAAAGTCCTCAGTTGAGGGCGGAGTGCCCCTCAGTGGAGAGGCACTTGTCTAGCATGCAGGAGGCCCTGAGTTCTGTCCAAACACAGTAACAGCAGAAAGTCTCCAGACCTCCCTGCATCAGAAAAAGCCCTGGCTCCATTTTCTTCCTTCCTCAAACCCAGCCCCGTCCTCTGACTCCCACAAGCTCAAGCCGAAGCTTCTCTCTCCACAGCAAGCTCAAGCCCTGCTGCTGCTTTTTTCTTAGAGTGGCCTTCAGGCCTCACTTTCTCTGCCTGCTGCTTTGATCCCTGTTCTGTCACAGAAACAGAAACCTTTCACCCCCTCCAAACACAAGCACCTCTCCACACTTAAGGGCCCTCCTTTCTTCGAGTTACGTGTCTGTGCTCATCTCGATCTCTTACCTCCCCTCATCTGGTTCTCTTCAGTCCTTTCTCTGTCCCTCACTGCCTCTTTTCCATCCCCACCATTAAGCCTCATGGTGATGAATGGGATGGGGTCAGGCCTGAGGCAGTGCTAATGGGGACATCTGTGTACTGGCCTGGGGTGGGTGCTGAGGGACAGACCCGGGCATCTAAGATGAACTATGGAAGTCCCCACAGTGTGCCTGGCTTTGGCCTTGCTCTGGACAGGTGAGACCACTGGCCTTGCTTATTTCCCTGAGCTTGGAGGCCTGATCCATCCTTACAATGTCACCCGAGCCTCCTGCCCATGCAGTGGGAAAGGGAAGGGGAAGACTGACAGGTGGGGCACTGTGCAAACTGTCCAGAGTTTTCCATCCCCTACACAGCCATGGCTGTCCTTTCGCTTGCCCTGCTGGGCCTTGGTGGCCTGGGTTTCCTAGGCACTGAGAATGGGAGCACTCAGTCCCCTGAGAATGGGGACTCAGAAAGCTGGTGAGCTGGTCTGACCTTACAGCAGAGGACTGGTTGTGCTGGCTGGGGCTGGAGTACTGCCTGGCATAGTTCTGTGATAAGGAATTGGCCACCATGGAGCTTTTTGGGACAAGTCCGTGGCCAGCGGGGACAAGGGATTATTTGGACAGACTCTCAGAGCATTGGCCAAACTGGTCTGGGACAGAAGCTAAATAGATGGCCCCAAAGCAGCAATTTTAAGCCAATATTTATTTGTTGGTAGTACTGGAGATTGACCCCAAGATCTTAGCACAAAATTAATCTCCAGTCCTTTCTTTTTGATTTTTTATTTTGAGACAAGTCTTGCTAAATTGCTAAACTGCCCAGGCTGGGCTCTATCTTTCCCCCTGCCTCAGCCTCCTAGAGTGCTGGCATTGTAGAAGTGTGAATCACCACTCTGATTTGGGTTAATATTTAAATCCCAGACATTGTTCATAGCCTTTCCATCCATCTCTCCTCCATCAATCCCCATGGCTTTGTGAAGGGCACACCAATAACCCCTCTTCCACATAAGGTAATGGAGCCCCACAGAAGTACCTTGTCACATGGATACAACGTGGCGGAAGCAGGATTAACACCAGATTTAATTGGCCTCAGAATCCACCGGGTTATTCTGGCTCCCTCCTCTCCACTCCCAGTTCACTCAGACTCAACAGCTGCGTTCGTGGGCTTCTAGGGCCGCCACTTCATCACAGTTTTCTTGGAAAACGGGGGCGCTGAGAAGCCCAACTTCCGGCTGTGTGTGTTGCCACCGCCCTGAGGGCCCTGGCGGCGCGGGCGCCTGAGTGCTGGCAGGTGATGAGTCTCCGTGGGCGTGCCTCCGTGGACCCCAAACTGGCGCCGCTGCGCCACCTGCTGGGCATCCGCTACTTGGTGGTGAGGCAGACCCGCGACCCACACAAGTTTGCTGCGGTGGCAGGAACTGAGCTCAGGCGCCTGGGCCTCGGTACTCTGCTGCGGGTCATACTGGACGGTGTCAAGTACCCTGCCCGCTGTCCCTTCTTTACGCACTCCCCACCCCCTGCTCCTGGAGATGAAATCCAGAACTACATTCCCATCGCTATTTATTTAGACAGGGTCTTGCTGTGTTGTGTAGTTTAAGCTGGCCTTGAAATCACTGTAGCCCAGGCTGGCCTTGAAATTACAGTGATCGGAGCTGGGGATTTAGCTCAGCGGCATAAGCACCTGCCTTGCAAGCAGGCAGTCGTGAGTTCAATCCCTGGTACCGAAAAAGACAAAAAAAAAAAAAAAAAAAAAAAAAAAAAAAAAAGAAAGAAAGAAAAAGAAATTACAACGATCCTTCTGCCTCAGCCTTCCTAGTTCTGGGATTGCAGAAGTGCCCTACTAAACTCGGATTATGTTTTGAGACAGAATCTTGTCAAATTCCCCACGCGGGGCTGGAATTTATGATCCTCCTGCCTCAGCCTCCCAGAGTGTTAGAATTATAAACATACATCATCATGCCCTGCTCCTCTTGCACACTTCTTGCAGCCTCTTCCAGGCTCTGCCCATGCAGAGCTCAGGCGGCCCATTTGGCTCCCGTGTCGTGGGCACCCATCCCGTCGTGCTGGTGGCTGGCCACAGCTGTCTGCCAAGGTGACAGAGGCTGTGGCTCCGTGTTGGAACAGCTGCTGCCCCGGGGTCTCTGGGGCCCTGTCTATCAGGTACCCGCATTAGCAGTAGGGATCCCAGCCCGGACCACGTGTGTCAGATGCCTGGGAAGCCTCCACTCCTCGGGGGCGGCACTGGGTGTGGCTTCGCTTGGCCATGGCCCCAGTGTGCCCGCTGGTGTTTCCTTCTTTAGCAGTGTGCAGGTGCTTTTCCTGGACTCAGCCAGAGCTCGAGAGGGGGCCCGTTATGACTCCTCCTTTGCTTTTCTCCCCCCCCCCCCCCGGGTGCATTCAGCAGCAGCCTCAAGCTCACTGTGCCGCAAGACTTTTCCAGCATGGTGGCGCGGAGGGCACCCACGCCTGCCCTGATGCTGTGGCCGCTGCCTGACTCACACTGGGGCCTCGGTCCTCCTGGTCTGAAGCCGCATTACAGGCAGCCATTTGGCCAAAGCCTTGTCCCTGTTCAAGGTTTCGCCCACAGGCGTGGGCTCAGCACTGTGCACCACCTGGTGATGGTGATAGGCGGGTGGCCCATGGATGTGCTCAGCTTCCACCGAAGACACTGGCTTTGGGACTTAGGCCATGGGGCAACCCAGGGCACTTGAGTAGCTCTGAGCCAGTCTTCTGGGGAAGTGAGCAGACGTTGGAATCCGTGCGGGTCTGGGTTGGGGAAACTCACAGCGCTATCTTTGTTTGCTCACACAGTAGCCAGCGAAGACAATTTTTAAATGCAAGTCACATTCCTCCTCCACTCAAAACCTCCCATACAATTATTCCACCTCTCAGCGAAAGCAAAGTCCTTACAGTGGTGTGTAAGGCCCTACAGACACTACTCCCATTGCTTCTCTTTCCACTGTGTCCCTCCCTCCCTCACTGTAGACCACCCACTTAGTCCCCTTAAGGTCTTGCCACAGGGTCATTGAACTGGCTGTTATCACGATATCTCTATTGATCGTCCTCTTGCTGCCTTCACATCTTTGTTCACATGTCACCTTTTATCCCCAGGACTGGGATTGAAGTGAGTTTTTAAGACACACAAATAATTATACAATATTTGAACATCTAGCCTTAATGAGTATACACACACACACACACACATATATATATATATATATATATATATATATATATATATATACTCACTTAAATGAAGCTATAGAACATTTCCATCACTCCGGATAGCTTCATGAGATCAGATTCTTTAAAAACATTTTTAAATTGCCACACTTATGGCAATCCGCAACACTAAGTAAATATTTACAGAATGAATAACAATGGTTATAATTTGGTAGGTATGCATAACATCATATGCCAGATGCTTGGTTCAAAAAGGACGTGGATGCCCAACATCTCTTTTTTTTTCTCTTTATGACAGTGAAAAGTGTAAACAATGGAGAAGATGGGATAGCGTAGTGATGGATAGTACTGAGTGTTAATTCTCATAATTGCTTTTAAAATTCTCACTAGCCTTTGAGATGCATGCTATAACAATATTGTAACGATTCTTATTTCCCGGGGAGTGAAGAAGGGGCAAGACTCACATTTCTTGTCAAATTCACACAGGTAGAAATTGGTAGAGTCAGGATTTGATCTGGGCCTCTTTGCTTCCACAGTGCAAGCTCTGAACCACCTTTTAGTCGTTTGGTGGTGTGTGGGCGTTTGTACTGCCTCACTAAGATTTATAAATAGTCCAGACGTTATGGGTTAGGTGATAAGTGCTTTTATATATAATGTATGTACATTATGTAATATATTCCTCACGGTCAACCTGGAGGCAAGTCTTTTTATTATCTCAATTTTATAGAGAAGGTATTTGAAGGTTAAAGGCACTAAATCTTTGCCCAGGGCCACACACGGACCAGGTAGCTGCTCATACCCAAACTTTGCGGGATCTGCTGAGAAGGAAGCGGGTAGTCCCAGAGGGTGCTTGCATTTTGCGCACACTCAGTGTGGCTGGTTGCTGGCCATGGTCCTGAATACATTGTGCTTCAGGACTCAGGATTTTCCTGTATTCTTGGAATGAAGAATCTCGCTCTCAACTTTTTTCTCGTCCTGAAAACCAGCAAGAAATGAGGGAGATGAGAGAAAAGTGGGGGGAAATGCTTATAGGGAAGTTAACGTTTCTCAGATGTGAAGGTATGGATTTCAATTCGTTTGTTCATAATGGCTTAGGTCTGGACTCCATCCAAGAGGATTCAAATCTAATTTCACATCTCTGACTTGCTACTTCATCCTCCGAAAAGATAATAATACCAACAATATAATGAAGTTGTTATGGCATTTTAAAATGAGTTAACAGAACAACAGCTTGCATGTAGTAAATAGTTGCTGTTATTTCTTTCAAAAATATGTTTCAGCCCTTAGTTCAATCCAGGCTCATGCTAGACCCTGGATACAATAATAAGCAAAACAGAGAACATCTCTACCATCAGGGAACTGACCCTCTTGCTCAAACTATAATCTATTCCAAGCTCTGTATTCCTTCTTGATAGAAAGTCTATAGGATAGAAAAGTTCTTTCTTAAGATTCTGTATGAATGGGTCACTTTATAGGTAGCCAACTTTATGTACTAACAGCTATTAAAAATTAATGGCTCTGCCCAGGAGGAAGAAATAAATGTCTCCAGTTACCCACAGAGTATGTACATACACATACACATGCACACATACACTACTCTTAATACTGTTTAATGTTGCAAGTTAGGACCAGGGATACAGCTCAGCAGCACAGTGCTTACCTGGCAAGCACAAGGTCATGGGTTCAATTCCCCTTACAAAAAAGAAAGAAAAGAAAAAACATGCTGCAACTTAAAGTCCACCCTGGCCAAAATCAACCATCAGATGTATTTGGACTAACTGGTTATGTGCTTCTGTGTGTGTGTGTGTGTGTGTGTGTGTGTGTGTGTGTGTACGTGTGTGCTGGTCCCAAACATGCTAAGCCCACACTCCATTGCTGATCTGTACCCCCAGCCCCAGGGTTTTAGAAATAATTGAACATGGCCATCTTTAGATACAGCCTGTGCTCTATGGTTCACTGCAGTCCTAGTCTGTACCCAGGCTTCCCTGATCATTTCTGTATTGTCTTAATCCCATCTGTCTTTTCCTCTTTCAGCTGATACTGGCAGGCTTGCTTCATTTTAGATTAAGAACTCTGCTAACTTCTGATGTTGTTTCCCAAAACAGGGCGCCCTTAGAGGCCTAGTGATGGAGGCAAATCAGTCATGTGGCTAAGTATTGGGATCCAATTCTATTATCTTACCACCAGATATTCGAAAGAGGAACCAACCCATGCATGGAATCTGGTCCCCTCTTACAGTCTTCCTTCCTGATGTTACTTCAGTTCTCAGTCTCCTGTAAAGTCCATTCCTTCTCTGATGGGACCACACATCATTTCAGGTTTTTTGTTTTGAGACAGAGTTTCGCTATGACTTTGGGCTCACTTTATAGCCCTGGCTGTTCTCAAACTAGCAATGATCCTCCTGCCTCAGCCTTCTGAGTGCTAGGATTACAAAAGTGCACCACCACGTCCAGCTACACATCATCTTGTGATGTATAAGCCTAAATATGTACCCAGAACCCAGGCTATATATGATTTCAAAGTGACATTTCTGCAGGGCTCCAAAATAGGATCTATTACCAGCTCCAAGGTCATGCCAGTGGCTAAACTAGTATCAAAAATCACATCTGGGGCCAGGGATGTAGCTCAGTGAAACAGCACCAGCCTAGCAAGTGCAAGGTCCTGAGTTTGATTTCCAGTACCAAAAACAAAAATCATATCTGAGCTAGGTGTGGTGACGCACAGTTTTAATCTCAGATACTTGGAAGGTGGAGGAGGAAGCACTGCAAGTTTGGGACCAACCTTGGCACTTAATAAGATCCTGTTTTAAAATAAAATAAATAAATATGGCTGGGGATATAGTTTAGCACTCCTTGGGCTCAATCCCCAGAACCTGAAACTGAACAAAGGTTTTCATCTGTGGTCATAACTGAACCTACACTTGAACATATGGCCATGATTTGTCTAGGGCTTGTACATGTGATTCTAGATAAACCCTGGCCTGAAATAGCTGTGACTGTACCAGTGTCTGCACTTATTTCTAAGAAAGAACCAGTTCCTACAGTTCTGGCTGAGGCTATACCAGCATCTGCCCCTATGCCCTTGTCCAAGCCCATATCCATAGCTAAATTGGTGCCCATAACCAGGTCAAAACTAAGCCAGCATCTGTATCTGATATACAGGTGGTAGTGGTGACTGAACCAGGACCAGAGGCTATGGCTGTGGCAAAGCCAAACTTGAAACTGTCTCTGAGTACAAACCGATACCTGCAGCCAAATCAGAGGCAGTGATCATCTGCATTTTTTAAAGTACCATGGCTCAAACCCAGGGACTTCACACTAAGTTATATTGCCAGCCCTTCTTATTTTGAGACTGGGTCTCACTAGTTGCCCAGGTGGAATTCAATTTTCAATTCTTCTTTCTCAGGGTTCCAGAGTGCTGACATTTATAGGCAGGTTCCAGTATACCTGGCACATCTGAGCTTTTTTTTTTTTTTTGGTCTTTTTGAGACAGGGCCTCACTATACAGTTCAGGCCGGCCTTGAGCTGACTTGATAGCCCAGGTTAATTTCAAACTCTCAATGATTCTCCTGTCAACAATTCTCCTGCCTCAGCCTCCTGAGTACTGGGACTATAGGCATGTGTCACCACACCTAGCTCCCATTTGAGATTTTGATGCCACTAGTTCTCTATGCTATGCCTTGGGGCTACACCCACATCCTGAATTATTTTCTCAGGACCCACCTAGGGGCCTCTCTGTCTTCACACTACAAATTGCCTGTCCTGGAGGAGGATACCTATGTGCTTTGTCACAGTGAGCATGTTGGATATCACTGTCACTGCCACTAAGCATCAGTCTGGCTTTATTTGAGAAAGAATCATAATGGAGCTGATGGTGGTACAGCATACTTACAAGCACTCTAGGAAGCTGAAGCAGGAGGATCACAAGGTCAAGTCTAGTCTGGGAAACTTGGCAAGACCCTGTCTCAAAATAAAAAATAGTTTGGGATGTAGCTCAATCCCCAGTACTAAAAAAATCATAATACATGGGATCTTAAAAAAAATCATCCTTTTCTATCCATCATTTTGTCATCTCTAAAATGGAGGCAATTATACAGCCTTCAAAGTCATGTTTCTAAAATGTTTTGAGGCCAGGTGCATTTCAAATTTTTGAATTTAGAATGATCAGACCATATGAATACCACTTATTATATAACACTCCCAGTGAATGTTTACATAATCACAAACATTAATATCTCTGTAGTTAAGTGTCTGAATAGTCGCATTTAGCAAAATAAATTAAGACTATAAGAAGACACATGAGTTCAGGTCAGCTTGTGCTGTTGCCAGTTGAATTTTAACATCAAATACACAATACCCCTTTCAGTCTTCAGAGCATCTTTTGAGGATTTATAGATAAAGAATTAACATTTGGGGATTATAGATAAGAAATGGTGGCTCTTTAGCACCTACCTCATTGAGTTCCTATGAGGTGGAAATGAGTTAACACATAAAAAGCTTTTGGAACAGAGTCTAGGTCATGGTATCATAGAAGAGTGTTTGCCATGTTTATTGTCTCCATAACACTGTCATCTGGAGCTTCTGAATCCTCTGAGCTTTGAACATATCTCAGGACCACACGCATCGACTGGAGTATCCCTCAGGGAAGCCTTAAGGGTACTGTTCTGGTTGGAGTGCTGTGGGAGCCAGCGTTATTTAATCATGCATGCTAGAGAAGGGATTTGATGGAGGCTGTGGATGTAGAAAGACATCCCTCACCACCACTATGGAAATAAAATTGAAAGAAAGAGAAAGAAGGGAGACAGACAGAGCCAGACATAGGAGTGCACACCTGTAATCCCAGCATTCAGGAGCCTGAGGCAGAACTGCTGTAAATTCAAGGCCAGCCTGGGCTATAGAGTAAGTTCAATGCTAGCGTGTACTACACAGTGAGACCTGTCTTGAAACAGAGGAAAAAGGAAAGAGAGGACAGAAAGAAGAAAAAGAAAGGAAGGGGGAGGGAGGGAGAGAAAGAAAGAAGGAGAAAGGGGAGGGAGAGGAAGAGGGAGAGGGAGACAGGGAGACAGGGAGACAGGAGACAGGAGACAGGGAGAGAGAATGGACTATGGAACAATATGATCTGTGTTCAAATACCAGTTTGACCATTCATTACTGTGTTACTGGTGAGCAAGTTATTTAACCTCTTTGGGCCTCAGCTTATTTATAAAATCAGAATAATGAAAAGATCAAACTTTTGGGCTGCAGTGAGGACTAAATAAGCTAAGGTATGGAAAGCTCAGACGTGAGCAATGCTAGGACCTGATGTGTGAGCCCAATGCTCCATACTCCCCTCCCCTTCCCCTGCCACGCCTCTTGAGATGGGACCCTGTAACTCAGAAATCTGGGGTTCTCCAAGTGCTGTTAAGGCTACTGAGCATCCAACAACCTCTACCCCAGGCATTCAGCAGCTTTAGATTCTCAGGGCTCCACATTTATCCTTTCACCAGCTTGCACCCTTATTTCGCAGAATTTCAACATTCCTACATTTCTTTCTTAATAATTACGAAATGCTTCAACTGGGAGTGGTTGGTGCATGCCTGTAATCCCAGCACTCTGGGAGACTGAGGCAAGGAAGGTCACCAAATTCTAGCCCTGCCTGAGTAATTTAGTAAGACCCTGTCTTGAAGGGAAAAAAAAAAAAAAAGACAGGGATGTAAGTCAGAACAAAGGCCCTAGGTTTGATCCCCAATAAAACAAAACTATGAGCAAGGCTTCAAAGGAAACCTGTAAAGGCTGATAGAGAAAGGGATCCTCGGAATTAGGGGCTGGCTCCTTAATTCTGCTTCTTACGGGAAGATTTCAGGATTCCTGGAATAAGATAGCTTCTAAGTCCTGGGGAAGCTGAGCTGTTGGAGAGGTGGGTCAGAAGATTTCTAGGCCCTAAAATGCAGGGCTCCTGAGTCCTGGGATGGAGAACCTTGACTCTAAGGCCAGGAC